CTGAACCGCGACGCAGCATGCTGATACGTATAAATGAAGACCGTGAATCGACGAACCCGGGGCAGAAGAAGAAGAAAAAAAAAAAAAAGAGAAAAAAAAGAGAATCGAAGACGAGGTAGTAGAACGTATGGTAGATGAGGTGCAGAAGGAGGAGCCTGCAGTGTACTCGGGTACTCAAACGGTAAGTGCGTAAACAAAGAGAAAGAGAGTGGCGGCGAATCGATCGACCGATCCTGTCGCGATCGTCGCGATCGCACTGCGAGTAATACGGTGCAGCCCGGAAGCTGCACCCCCTTCCGATCTCGCAGTCGAATCTCGATCGATAGATCACGCCGGGCACGCGCGTTCAGAATCTCCATTGAGCGAGACGCCAAACGAACCTTGAGAGAAAAAAAAAAGGAAACAGAAAGAAAGAGAGAATGGAACGGAAAAGAGGAACTTAATCGGAGAAAGGAAAAGAAAGATGAACCGAACTAGAACGGAAAGAGAAGAAGACGAAGGTAGAGAAGAAAATAAGGCAGAAAACGAGAAGTAGAGAAGTAGAGAAAGAGAGAAAGAGAGAAAGAGATCTTTGGGTAGAGCAAGTAGAGGTGAGTAGGTACCTGGATAGTGGCGACAGTGGAATGTACCTGAAGCGGCCGGTTGGATGGTGGATCGGGCCGCCGTATCGTCGGGTCGCTGGCGGTGTCAGATAGGCCAACGGTGGCATCGCCTTGTTGCTGCTCGGATTGTTGGCGAACTTGACGGTGATCGGCTCGGACGAGCCCTTCGGAATGGTACCGTTTAATTCTTGGATCGCCCTCTCGGCCTCGACCCGCTGGTCGAACCTTATGAAACCGACCCCTTTCGACAATCCTGTCGGTAATCGGTTCAAGTTATTCAACGAACCACCATCGTTCGCGGTGTTTGGTAGAACGAATATCGGACATCGAAGCGAGAACTTTGGCAGATTCCTCGTTGACTGTCGAGTGACTACGCGTTACGAGAAGGACTAGCAATTTTCCACGCTGCAAGATGTTCCAGCTAAATCACGAACGAGTTTCGTGCAGGGGTGAAACGATACTGGAAACTTTCGCGAAACGTTACTCCGCGTTGGAGCTTCGATTTTAACAGTTATTTTATAGTCGCTTGACAGAAGTTCCCAAGGAACGTACATACGTCTGTTCGTTTGCGGATACTTTCCAATGAAACGTTAAAAGTTTGAACTAGTTGTTCAGTTAGTATCGTCCACGGGATCGAAAGTAAGGCAAACTAACTATCTCTAGGGAAAATTGGAGAAAACGGAAAGACATCGTTTACAGATGTGCACAGTTAGAAATTCATTGAGCGATTTCTATTTAGAACCTGTGCGACTCTGGATGATGTAATTTCATTGAAAGAACTTCAGAGAGAAGTTTCCATAGATTTTATAACCATTTTCTTCGAACAGGGTTAGTTAGAGGTTAAAAAATAACTGTTATATCAGAACCAATCGAAAGTTCGGACAACTCCATTGGAACTTTTCGTGGGAAAAGGGAGAGATTCGCGTTGGATCAGGCGAGGAAGTGGAAGAGAATGGAAAAATGGCGGACTCGCGGTGGCGCGACGGTGGCGCTGCGGTCGCTCAAAGGTTATGGACGATCTAGAGACACGGGACTAGGGGAAATCGTCGTCTCCGAGCGGAGTAAGTTATCCCAGGAACTCGTGAGTCCTCGTTCGCGTTATTTGTACCCCATTTACGAAACACAGCGGTGCGGTTTAGTTGGAAAATCTTGGAACAGCCAAGGAACGCATTACGCGACGAATCCTTTCACGAGATCCGTCGTACGCGTATGCGGGCAACCAGACGTTGCGATCGTTCATATGATATCGCGAATGATATCTACGGTAGTCCAATTGAAGGAAGAAAGTTGCCTTTGCATTAACGATTCTTCTCGATTTCCGATCAATCGATCGTGAATGCCAACGAACCTTCTTCTTCTACTTTCCACCCCGTGATCAACGACGAATTCTGTGTGGAATGCAACCAAGTGCATTCGAACGAGTGGCTCGGTGCGCGCAGATTCGTTTCTTTACACCGATGTCGCGTGTTCTCGAGTGAGTCGATCGTGTTTTCTCTTCGTGGCGAATTCCCGCGAAGCTGAATGAGTTTGGTAACGCGGCAAAAAAAGGGGCGAGAAGGTGTTTATGCATATATATATATATTTATATTTATATATATATGTACTCGTGTATGTATGCGTGTGTCTGTGTGCCGTGGATCGAGGGCACGGTCGCAAAATCATAATCATAACGAACGACAAAAAGCGTAAAGAAACAAAAACGGCGCTCGGGAGGGAAAATCTGGTCTTGTAACTGTGGTCGCGGTCACGTGAACAAAGCAGCCAGTGAAAGAAAGAGAAAACAAACAAAAAGGGTAAACTAATTCCTACAGAATTAAGGGGAAAAATAAAAACAAAAAAAAAAAAAAAAAAAAAAAAAAAAAAAAAACAAAAAAAAAACAGATCAGATGAGAATAAACAGAAAAGAAAATCATTTTTCGTCTCTTTTTTTCTTCTTTTTTCTTTTCTTTTCCTATATTTCTTTTTTTCTTCCTTTTCTCGGCTAATCGATCCCCGCGAAATTTCTTCGCAGATACGATCGCTTGGTCCCGATTTTCCCTGTTGGTGGTTAATTCTTTATTACAGGCGACAGTCTGAATGCATCGCGAGACGAACGAAAATCGAGGCCTACGAACGTAAAATGAGAACGTAGAAAAATAATGGAAAAGAAAAAAAGAAACGTATGAAAAGATGAGAGAGAAGATAAAGGCTGCTTTCGTTTCAGGTTGGGCGTAATAAGGGAAAAGAAAAAATGAGTTGTATGAGTTACGTACCGGGCAAATAGTCTCCGCCGCCGGTCACAAACTGTCGTACTAAACAGAAACGGAAAAAATCATATCACGTTAAAAGTCAACTGGCAGCATACACGATTCGCTCGCCCCTGATTCGTCTAGGTGGGAGCGTATGTAATAACGAATAACTGGAAGAAAGAATAACAAAATCGACAAGAGTAAAAATAATGCGAGAAAGTAAGAGAAAGACGGTACAAAGAAAGCAAAAGGGAAAAGAGCGCTTTTTTCTCGGGAAGCGTTGAATCTCATGACCTTGATGTCGTGATGAATTTCAAATTGGACTAAAAAAAAAAAAAAAGAAAAAAATAAGAAAGAGAAGAGAAAAAAAATAGGAAAAGAAACGAATAAATAGAGCACGAGGTCGCAAAATGGATTCAACACTGGCGAAGAGAAAAAAGACGTTCGACTTGGAGTTAAATGCCGACAATGTTCCCCCGTAATGATATTCACTCTTCCATGATGTCAAATAATCAAAATAACGGGGGTCTGAGAGAAAGAATAAAAGAAAATTGGTCGCAATGAGATGAATAAGGGGCGAGCGATCTTTCCGTTGAAAATTTTACGCTATTCCTTCCTCCGTCCTTAAATATGCACGAGGTCTCGTTATCTTCTTCTTCTTCTTTTTTTATTTTTCTTTTTTCTTTTAATTTTTCTTCTTGCCGTGAAACGCAAAAAACCAAACAGTACTCGAAGGTAAACTGAAAAACGTAACGAAAAGAAACGCAACGAGAACTGAAAAAGCAGAAAACTTTTCGAAATCGAGGATCGTACTGTGGAACGAGTGTATAAAAGCGAGCCGGGAATGAAGGAAGAAACAGGGGAAGATTCCACGTACGATACGTGTCCTATCATTGAACACCGTTTCACGGTGTCGTAACGTAACAACGAAATAAAATCCGCCGATAAAGCTGCCTCGATCGTTACGGAACAATCGAAGGGCAGACTGCGAGAAGGAACGAAAAAATAAAAAAATAAAAAATAAACTGAAATAAAACAAAATGAGAAAAAAAACACATAAATAAGAAAAGAATAAAACTCGTTAATCGTGTGAACGATGGTAACGAATGCATCAAAAGATAAAAGGTAACAACTCGCAGGAGTGAAGAACAAAAAAGCACCAACATGGACACAAATGAAACAGAACGGTACAGGGTAGCTAGGCCATGAGGCTGTGCGTGAAACTGGGGATGCAAACAGAATGCTCTGCCAACAGAAAGGTAAGCTGAGAACGGAAACAATAACGAGCGAAAAAAATACAAAGTATGGAATCAAGAAACGGAAGTTTGCGATCGTGTGTCCTCTCGAATGATCTCGAATACGAGGTGTCCTTCGCTTCGACCGAGAATCGTCCGCGAAGGAAAATAACGAGCAGTCGAACAGAAGGACAAGGAGAAAAGAGAAAAAGAGAGAGATAAAACAAAGAGGAAAACGAAACGAAAAGAAAAAGGAAAAACTCAGCGAGAATTAACCCTTTCGCTTCGAACGACATCCATGAGATGACCTGTGGCTACGAGCGCCGCACATAGGCGGCGTTCACGCGATGACTCCTGGATACGGACACCCCATATATCCGGCATACAAACGATGCGTATACAAGTGCAATCTGTATACGATTGTTTTATTCGGCACAGTTGTTATTTAAGACTTAGGAAAACAGAAATATGCAGAAATATATAGAAACCATGCACACTGTGCACATGTCTGGCGCGCACTTCCGTTCAGTGATGGTACTTCGGCGGAACTGCCGAAGCGAAAGGGTTAAATCGATCGGAATGAAAGGTGCGTAAACGAGATCATCACGCAGCTTCGAGACGACATCGACCAACGAGAAGTGTCGCACAGCGGTCTCGTTCGCTGTCGAAAATGCAACCGGAAGTATTTGTCACTCGTTCACCACGATCTGTGTACGTTCTCGCACTGATCGCAGGCGCACCGATCCACCCCACGATACGACCAGAACCCCATGGCCTACTCTTTCCTTTAATCCTTCGTCAAATCGTTCACCAAGCTTCCTAACTTCGATCTTCTATTCACCGGACACGAGTCTGACCCGTACAGGCCCGGACTACTTTGCTGCCTCGGACAAAGTCGAGGGGCACGCAGTTTCTTTTACGTTCTCCCCTACAATTCCCGAATTCCATGGCCCTCCACAGGGCTCACGAGATTCTACTAGACGATACGATTCTCGGGAAATAAGTAACTTACCGGAGACGTTGTCGCAGAGTATCCGCGACGTGATGATTCTGCCATACGAGCTGAACAGATTCTCCAGGTCTTGTTGCGTCATGTTCTTAGGCAAACCGCTCACGTACAGGTTTGCGCCTTTGATCGCCTCGCTGCTCGGTCTCGCGTACGATACCTGTCGAGATGGATCATCGTTAATCGCACTCGGACACGGGCCAAGCGACACGAAAGTATGGCGATCCTGATAGCCCAACACTCCCGCGAATCTTCGTTGCTGACCAGGAGAGAGATGCTTCTAGGGTCGCGTTACTTTCGTATCACACTGTGGATTCATTGACGAGAAACGTTCAATGAGCCGGCAGATAGACCCGTTTGCTTTTCTTTCTCGAACTGACCAGCGTCGTCCACGTGGCACGTAAGCAACGGAATCTTAACTGTTGGAGTTAATAAATAGCAGATGCGATAATGTCTTTGAATTCACGCCAGCCTATTTCCATCATCGCAACAGTGTGTAATATCACCGGGTAATGTCGCGTAATCACGCGCGAATACCGCGTTCGAGAAATCGCTCGATTAGACACACCGTGGCTTTCGCGCGAAATTTTCCGCCAATTTTCCCGGACGCTTTGGCTGTGAGCCGTGGCCAATTCGCTAGCGACCAAGGGACGCCTTTGAGATCGGTAATTTTATCGAAAACTGGTATACTTATTCGAAACACTCCGAGATCCACTATTTTACACGCACGCGGAAAATTCTGATTTTCTCGGATACTCCGATAATTAATTTCTCTATCTTTGCCACGAAAGAGACGTGTCAATGAGCGATATAGTAATCGACGATGTATTAATTTTCGTTTCCCGGTTATTTAATATCGGATTTACATCTAGAACCAGCGTGTCACGCGCAAAGGTAAGGCCCATCGACGTCCCATCGGATTAACGCGTTAATGAAAGACATAAAGTTAGACTAGAATCAAAACTAGATGCCAGATCGTGGGGACAAGCGTGTCTCGTGTATAAATAGCCAGGTAGGAACCATTGAGAACTTTTGTCTCGAACGGTCCGTGAAAACTCCGGCTCGAAAATCGGATATATTTCCTTCTAAACACTAATCGAGCGGGATCCTTATAAATAGATAGTTCAGTATGTCCAGCGTATTTAGGGAGAACGAACCTTGATCGTTTTGTTTTGCAAACGAAGACCGTTGAGCGTGTTTATCGCCTTCTCAGCATCCTCAGACCGGTGATAGTTAACGAAACCGTAACCTAAACTCTGACCTGTAACACAATAAAAAAGACCCATCAAATTAAACCTGTATTCTGTAAAAAGAAATACCTACTACCTCTATGACGTCGTTTTAAAAATTAGTACAGAATTTGAAAATTCTTTGTCACTATCGTCTCATGGTGTCAACGTAATTCGGAGATAATTTCAACGTTATTTAAATATTATTCGAAGATTATTTGAATATTATTCGGACGTTAGTCGGATATTATTCGAACGTTGTTGTGACAGGTGTAAAAGGGAAAACGGGAAGAAAAGAAGGGGAAAGGAAATAGAGTACGGACGAGATACGAAGAGAGGCGGGACTCGCGACCGGTAAATATCTGTGAACGCGTTCGTTCATTGAGTAAATGGGTATGTGACAGCGACGAGTGTTTTTCGAAAACAGGAAACGCGGGCGGTGCAATACGGCCCTGAGAGATCGCGCGGCGAGGTCGAATATAAAGCGGCGGAGGCTCAAACCAAACGACGCCCCCGCTACTCCGACGCTCGAAATAGCGTCGCGACGTCCACGCACGTGCTCTCCACTAACGCACGGAATTCAGAAGCGCGAGTACGCCAGGCGAAATTACGCTGGATTACGCGCACTCGAACGTGCACGGTCGGTCAGCATGGGATAAAAATCCGTCCACGGGTATAACGGAAACCGCAACGTTGCGTAACTGTCCCCCTCTCCCTCTCTCTCTCTCCTACTCTCTCCGTCTGCGAATTTCTCGGGAACGAAGATGAAAAGCATGGAAAATAAATAATAAAAATTCCAGAAACACGGATTTCCCGATTCACCGATGATGAACGGGGCAACGTGATTCTTCCATTCTTCCTTAAACAACGCGATCCTCGAATGGAAAGGAAAATAATCCTCGTTCGTTAATATCACGAGTATCGTCACGACATTGCGAGTGTTTACCATGATAAATGCACGTAAACGAGAAACCGATGACACGTGAAATTTCTTTTATCGTTCAGCTAGTGACAGGCGTCTGTTACCGACTTTCGAATATCGTAATATCCAATAATTCCCCCCCCCCCCCAGGGCTTCGTCGTATCTTTAAGAGACTCTGTCTGCTTTCCGAAGCTTTTCCGATAGATCTGACAGAAAATAAACAGCCGCGGAAGAATCGATGCCGACTACTCGACTAAACTAAACACCGTTACCCGGTAACGTCTGCAAATCGATAAACAAACGGTCGGTGTAGAAAGGCGCGACTTATTCTTTCTGCGGCAGCTCTTTCGCGCTTCTCGATGACGATTATCCGTATAGTGACGCGAGAATGACGGCACGAAGATCGACTTACCGGTGAGTTTATCGCGAATCAGCTTGCAGCTCTCCACCTCGCCTATGCTCGAAAAGAGGGATCGAATCTCATCCTGTGTCATGCTCTGTGGCAGGTAATTTACAATGAGATTCGTCTTGGACTCTTCCTGCGAGGCCTGTCCGAGGGTGGATCCACCATTTTGTTGCACGACTGTGTCCATTCCGTTCGCCATCATTGCTCTCTCCTACCGGTCCTCTCTAACTAAGTACGAAATCTGAAACAAGAAAGCGTCCCTTTATCGCCATCTGGTTAATAGATCCCTTTTTGCGTTCTTCGCATCCCGGTATACTCTCTTCGATCAGCATCGACGATCGATCCACGCTACCTTCTAAATCTCTTACGGTGCGATCGACCACCCTGTGTTGTGTCTTTCATCGTGGAACGAAAGAAGAGTTCACTGGAAAATCGTGATTCAAGACGTGACACGACAGAGCAGCGACACTTGACTTTCGAAACCTTTTCGAGGCCTCGTTGCAGGCTTTATCGCAAACTCCTGGTTTCGTGTCGACGGCTCGTGGCTGCGGATTTTTCGCATGCTTCTCGCATACTTCGACGATCGTTCGGACGGCAAGGTAATTTCGAGTGTCGGGGAATCTTAGAATCGACTCGGATCCGAGCGACGCGTCGAGGCTTAGTTTATCGAGGCAATCGTTCGACGAGCAGGAAGAACATGGGAAGAAACAGACGAGTATAAACACAGGCTGAGCGGAATTCTGTGTCCATAGAATTTTGAAGGACGTAAAAACGCGTGTTAATCAACACGCTGTACACGATGCACAAGCGTCTTACAACACTGGGAACACCAAGTTCGAAGAGAAAAATCGGTTTTTGTTTACACATGTAGCCATTGCGTAATAACAAACGCGTTTTTTCCCGGCGAAAACAAAACGCTATAAATGTTCAGCTTATATACGAATTATTCCAACCGATTCGTTTATCGCGCGGAATTTCATCGGGGTTTTATGGGGATTTTGTAAGAATTTTACAAGAACCTTATACGTGGACTTGAGGCGATTTTTCTTTTTTTTTTTTCTTTTTTTTTCTTTTCACAGAGGTATAACGATACGTTCGAGGATCGTTATCGATGCGGTGGAGTAAATTAAAAGCAGCTGGAAAAAACGAGGCGCGTGGCTCGGTCACGGGCGACTTACGAAAATTCATGGTTCACGCAACTGGATGCTGACGTAATCTGACAATGACTTTCAAAACAGAGCGTGAAAAGAACAGGCGGAGGTGGCCGTTGGCAGGGGCGAGGGTAAGGTCCAATAGAAACGCGGATAATTTAAAGGGGCGACGACCCCCCTTTCTGGTTTAAAGGGCTCGCTTCTCTCGTGCCTTCCTCTTCCAACCCCTAACCAAACCACCGTACTCGATACGTTTACAGGGTGTCCAATATCAATCCTACTTCCACCGTTCCATTTTCTATTCCAAAATTTCTACAATGCGATTTACTCTTCGTTCAATGTCGCCTTCTATTTTCCCACGTAGCGACCGATACTTGGAAAGATCCGCGATCGAGTTCGAGTAAAATTCCGGAAATCAATCGCTGATCTTCTTGTTATAGTTACACCTCAACGAGACATCGATCGATGTCCCGATTGTTCTGTCTCGATCGGTCTTGATCGGCTAATCGAAGATGTATCGTATTTCCGTTTACGTGTTCGGCTTATTCGCTGGATCGTTCGTGGGACAGTTCGTTCGGGACACCCGGTACGTGGTCGCACAGGCCTGGAGCGAAAGGGACAGAGAGAAGAAGGAAAATAGGAAAGGAGACGGAGGAGAAAGAGAAAGAGAGAAAGGGAATCTTTCCCTTCCGCCTCCTAGTCTCTGTCAGTCGTTCGACGTAGTCATCAGCTGTCCTTAGGGCCACCCCACGCAGCTAGTAGTCTCCGTGTCTCGTGACTGCGGTCACCCCCTGGTCACATTCTCTCCTCGGATACCTTTTATTACACGCGATAGATAACTTTTTATTATATGCATCGAGCGTTGCGTGCGCAACACGAGACACGGGGAGAAAGAAACTGGGACGGGGCTCGATCTGTTACGGGATGCCGGGCATGGCGATGCTTCCTGGGGGTCTGTTAAAAGGTTTCGAATAACGAGAATTCCCAATTATCGGAATCCTTAATTTGCCCACCGGCAGGAAACCTAAAACGGGGTTTAAAACGAAACGCGTTCCGAATTTATAACGAGTATCCTAACCTACTTAAACGCGCGATGTCAAAATTGAAGAATCGATGCCGTTGATCAAATAATTTTCTCGGGGATAACGATGAACGAAATCGAGGAATGAAGGTGAGAAAACGGTGACGCTTTTCCTCGACGACCGTTCGGTGGGTCGATGGTGTTTACGAACGAGGCGAGGAAAACAGGCGCGTTCAGCAGTCGGAGAAAATGTCGGAGCCAGCAGTTATCGTAGCCCCGCATCTTCCGTAGTTATCGATCCACGCGCCCTCTGTCTCTCTTACTCCGCCGCTCGGCATCGCGATATTTTAGGACGGCACAATGGAAGCCGAGAGACCCCATTGTCGGGCGAGGAGAACTCATCGGAAAAGTATCGTTCGCCAGTGACTTCGAAACACGACTCCCGTGCCACCGTCATTATCCTACGACAATGGACGTTATGCATGGCTGCGTGTATATACGCATATACGCGCAACCTGGGGTTGTCCGCGGCACAATGCGGAACGCCACCCCCTTTCGCCGGACCGGGGTTCGCAAAAGTCGATCTCCGTCTACGACCATCTCCCGGCCAAGAATCCACCGCAGACGCGTTTATCTTATCTCTCTCGTGCGCTACTTTCAGGTTCAAACTCTCTCGCTTCGACGAGGATTCCATGGAATTCGAAGAAATTCGGAGCAATTCGAATTTCGAGTATTCGCGCGATAAATCGCGTGGATCTAGTTCCCGTTGATAATAAAAGAAAGTCGAAGGATTTGTAAATTCGAAGAGGTCGACGATTAGTTAGAAGGTAACGATACTTTAAAGAGTTTCGACGATGAAGTAAAACGCGGTACGGAAACCCTTATTAAATATGTATCTGGATTACGTACAGTCGCGTAATAGAATTAGGAAGTTGCGTAGGACGAAAGAGACGAGGGATAATGTAGGGCTTGTGTCCTGCGAGCGAGGACATCCCGAAATCTCCTTGAAGATAATATAAATTTCCAGCGAAAATAGCAGGTGAGTCTAGCCGGGGGTTAAAGTTCGATTTTCACGTACGGTTGGCAGATACGATCTTCGGCCGGTGGCCAGGTGGCCATGGCGACGGATCGTGAAAATCGCGTGGCCGGGACCGATCAATACGAGCGCGACTCCTCGGTCTCTGCCTCACTCGTTCTCCCTCCCGCCGCTTCTCTCACTCTTTCTCGCACGATCGGGAGCTGTCTCCCTCTTTCTCTCCTTTCTCTGGTGCGCGCACGAGACCCCTTCCTCTCGCTACGATTCCAAGGGAATCCCCTCCCGCGCTCGCGTACGCCCCTTTCCGCGCGAGAAAACGCACACGGACGCACGCACGCACACGCGCGAACACGCGAAACGCAGTAGCTCGTCCTGCTATCGAAAAGGAATAGCAACGGCAGAAGAGGGGGGGGGGGGGGGGGGGG